TTCGGTGCATACAACGGCAATGCCAATGGAAATGTTAACTACGGTGATGCCAATGGAAATGCTAATGGAAACTATAATACAAAGAGATTTGCAGTGGGTAACGGAAATGCAAACGGTAACGGAAATGTAGGAAGTGGCAATGGTAATATCAACGGTAATTACAATAGTGGTTCTTATAACGGCAACGCTAACGGAAACAGTAACTGGGGTGATGCCAACGGTAATGCGAACGGTAACGCAAATAATGGTGACTCTAATGGCAACGTTAACGGAAATAATAACTGGGGCAGTGCCAATGGCAACGCAAACGGAAATGTCAATAATGGCAGCAATAATGGCAACGTTAACGGAAACAATAACTGGGGCAGTGGCAATGGCAATGTCAACGGCAACCTTAACAACGGATCATCAAATGGTAATGTAAACGGCAACAGCAATATTGGTTATGCTAATGGAAACGCTAATGGAAACGCAAATACTGGCAATGCCAATGGCAATGCCAATGGAAATGCAAATTTCGGTGCATACAACGGCAATGCCAATGGAAATGTTAACTACGGTGATGCCAATGGAAATGCTAATGGAAACTATAACAGTTAAAAAAACGTCAGTTTCAAAAATTCATCATTTAATCATCACACAGCATTTTTAGAATAATTATAATACTAGTAATAACTATAATAATTTAATATTAGCATTTGACTTTAGACTAATAAATAGAAAAAAATCTAATTCATAGGGACGCGATAAATATCTATTGTTTGTACTTTTACTTGTCTAACGCTGTATTATCCATTAATAAAAGTAACCTTGGTCAAATCATAAATTATAAAAATTAGTTGTTATAGAATAATAGTTCAAAAAGTTATGGATACCTGAAAGATAAGTGTCTTGCGGCGCTTAAATTTATGGCGAAAAAAAGTGCCTGACACGTGATTTTTAAGGGAGTAAACCAATCATATAGCAAGATCAATGTGTAATGGGAAAATTCAAAACAAACGAAAAAATGGCTTGTATCTCGAAATTTCGCTATTAATTTTTCATATCTTGCTATTTGATTGGTTTACCCCTAAAAATCACGTGCCAGGAACTTTTTTCACTATGGCTGGGCTATTACAATTTTTATTATAAATCGTGCGCACAAAGTATACAGTACAAAATGATTCATAGACAAAATTTCGAATTACATGTACAAATTGATCTTACGATTGGTTTATCCGGTGCCGCAGATAAAATCATGTCAAGTCCCGAAACTATTAGTTTGTGATATTAATGTTCTGATTGGATTCAGCACTAATAGAAACAGCAAATTCTTCATATACACATACATGCCTCATTTTTCAAATTAAACAATAAGTTAAAAGCTATAACCTTCCATGTGTGAAATCCAACATCAAATCACAAATGTCTCTCCCTTTCATCTTCAAGTATTCCAAGGCAGCCCTAAGCACAATAAGAGGCACATTGCCTCGGAATGATGAGGCATGCCCAGATATTTTCACGTGTCCCAACCTTAATTTTATTTACTATGGTATACCAAGATACCGAATTGTTCATTCACTTTTATATTGATATTGATATTTTTATTTTTGATGATCCATAATTTCTCGATTCTATATCGTCCGATAAAATTTTACAACACAAAATAAAATTACACAAAGAAATTAATATACAAAAATGATTAATAAAACGATACAGCCCTTAGTTGTTTGCCCGTTATTTAACTATTCGAACAACTAAATCACCAGCTGACAAAGAATCGCTTTCCTTGACTGCAACATATTCAACTTTTCCAGAAACTGGAGATGAAACTATTGTTTCCATTTTCATAGCCGATAGAACGCAAATTGGATCACCTTCTTTAACTTCAGTTCCTTCTACAAAATTATTTTTAGACTCGATTAAGTAAATTTATAATTTTTAAAAAATTGCCAAAAAAAATACTAACCACTTGTTCTAACTTCAATCACTACTCCTGACATGGGGGCCCCGATTTCCCCAGGATTATTAGGATTGGCTTTCTCGCGTTGAACGTGCTCTATAGCTGATTTAATAAAGATAACATATATAAACAAGCTGAACAAATACTTACAATATATATTAAAATAAAGAATTACCAGCACTACGGTCCTCTATCGAAACAACTCTAGCTTCACCATTCAATTCGAAAAATACTTCTCTTTTTCCGCTAGAGGTACTTAATGATCCAACAGCTAGAAACTTGATGATTAGAGTTACACCTTCTTCAAGTTCAATGCTGATTTCTTCGCCAATATCTGGTTTTGAAAGAAAATAACGAGTAGGAATAACCGAAACATCTCCAAATTTTTCAATTTGTTCCCTGAATTCTGCAAAAACTTTAGGATAAATAGCTGCTGAAGATACATCTACATCTCGAATAGTCCGTCCATATTTTTTGGTTAATTCAGTTTTGAGGGCAAAAAGATCTAAGGGTTTCATAGTAGCACCAGGTCGTCCTTCAATTCGTGGAAGATCTTTTATAATCTACATGAATAAACCAAAGTTTCAAATTAAGATATTTCATAATCTATCAAACAATATAATATACAAACAGATAAATCATGTTTTCTCAAAAAATAGAAATTTTGTGGGACAAATAAAACTTACATCAGATCTTAAAGGTTCTGGGAATCCCCCGTATGGTTGACCTAAATAACCCTGAAAGAATTCAACTACTGAAACTGGAAAAGATAAATTTTTAGCTTTTTCGATTACCTAATACAAATAGTATAAGTTAAATGATAGTATCGTGGAAATCATTCAATATTTTTGTTTGACATAACTTACATCAAAATAATTCAATTTGTTGGTCACCATAAATTGAGCAAGATCACCAACGACCTTAGAACTTGGGGTGACTTTCACAATATCTCCGCAAAGTTTATTAGCTTCTGTATAGGCCTTCTTAATCTCTTTCCACATTTGTCCAAGACCAAGTTGTTGAGCTTGAAACATTAAATTTGTGTATTGTCCACCAGGCATTTCATGTTCGTATACTGAGGAGTCACCAGCCAAAACCCCTGATTCAAAGCAACTATAAAGCATGCGAACTTGCTCCCAATATTCATTCAACGCATGTACATCTTCCAATCGAATTCCTGTGCCAAGTTCTGTATTTTCGAGTGCAGAAACAACCGCGCCCATCGAAGGCTGTGATGTAATTCCAGACATGCCTTTATAATATTAAATAATTAAGAGGTGAGCATAAAATAATTTTGCTTTAGTAATCTTCATAGCTGTTAGTTAAATTAGTTAACTCTAATAATGAAAACATACTATCAATGGCCAAATCGATAACATCAGCGCCAGCAGCCGCAGCAGCTAACATACTAGCCACTCCCGTTCCGGCGGTATCATGAGTATGTACATGGATTGGTAAATCAGGCCAGCGTGCTCTGATAGCACCGATAAGTATCTTAGCAGCTTCAGGTTTCAATAATCCTGCCATATCTTTTATCGCAAGAACATGAATTCCTTCATCTACCAATTCTTGAGTCAAATTCATATAATATTCAAGATTGTGTTTCTTTTTATTTGGATTTGATACATCGCCTGTGTAGCAAATAGCGGCTTCAACAACACCACCAGCTTTCTTTACAGCATCGATTCCCAACCGCATATTTTCCACGTAATTCAAAGAATCAAATATTCGAAAGATATCCATTCCAGTTTCTTTGGCGCGTTTGCAAAAATCATAAACTACATTATCAGGGTATGTAGTGTAACCTACAGCGTTAGCACCACGAAGCAACATTTGAAAGGGAATGTTTGGCACGAGGGCACGCATTTTTGACTAAATATTAAATGATAAAAATGTAAGAAAATGATTTCAACTATTTTAATTATATTTAACATACCAAACGATCCCATGGATCTTCGTATAAGAAACGCATTGCGACATCAAAAGTCGCGCCACCCCAGTTCTCCAACGAATATGCGTTAGCAAGTCCATGAGCCGTATGTGGCGCAATATTTAACAGATCTAATGCAAATAGAGATCTAGATATTGTTAATTTATAACAATAGCGATATTATCGCGTAATGCTATTCCCCAAATTAATACCCGGGTATATATCATTGAAAAATTGAATGGTATTATTATTTGTACAAGCTACAGTGTAGTCTATTATTATAATTGTTATTTTAAACAACCCCCTCATGCCATGCCCTATTCCTTACAAAAAATCCCTCGGATACGATTCAATTACAAATAAAGCCATAAAATACCTATAGTTCTGATTCTTGTTGCCAATAAACTTTGATGCGCATCTCTCCACGTTGTGTCCATAATTAGAACGCCAGGATACCGACGCACTGCCTTGGCGAAAGCTTCTGGTCCTTGTTCAACAAGCAAATGACGCCATCCATGTGAAGGTGGATGACGTACATCAACAGGTTCTGGACCTGCGAGAGAACGAATAGTTGGTAAGAGGGTGTGTTTCTTGAAACTAGGTTCACCCTATTGTTAACAAAATATTCAATAAGGAACTTAGTTTCGATATTAATTACATTTTTTATAAAATCGCTTACAATTTGTCCTTTGATACTACTCCCATTGACAGCAATATCGCCCAAATATCGCAGAATCTTTTGAGCACGATTCTTGCTCTCAACTAATCTGAACAAATCAGGAGTATCATCAATAAACGTTGTCCATGTCTTTCCGGAAATAAATACTTCGTGAGTTAATAATCTTTGTAAAAAAGGAATGTTAGTTTTCACTCCACGAATTCGAAATTCTACTAAGGTTCGAAACATTTTCCGACGTGCGACTTCATAATTACTACCACGAACAGTGACTTTTACAAGTAATGAATCATAATGTGGGCTAATTACAGCCCCGACATAACCAGCGCCACCATCAAGACGTACGCCATTTCCACCAGAAGAACGATATACTTCAATCTTTCCAGTATCCGGCTGAAAATTTTGTGAAGGATCTTCGGTAGTCACGCGACATTGAATGGCACAACCACGTATTTGAATACGGTTTTGTGAAAGAGAAAGTTGCGGAAGTGTTGCGCCAGCAGCTATTTGTATTTGTGCTGCAACTATATCAATTCCAGTGATTTCCTCTTAAAAAGTAATTACGTATGTTATTAGTAACTATCTAAGTATTATCTTTTCGTTTAAGATAATCGATTAAATTCTTACCCGTAATCGTGTGTTCAACTTGAATTCGAGGATTTATTTCAATAAAATAATGTCTATTTTTTTGATCGACTAGAAACTCTGCTGTTCCGGCATTTCGATATCCAACTGCTTTGGCAAGTTTAATAGCATCGGCTAAAATAGCATCACGAACTGATACCTTAAATTTAAAATGGATTCTTTAGAATTGAATAAATAAAGTCAAAACTGGATATAACAATATATATAAAATTTTTGGAAAAATGACATTAAGACGATAAGTTTAATAAGCAGAAATTTTATATGTGTCATAGAAGCAATAGGAATTTATCTTTATAACAAAATTTAACACATATCGAACTTTGAATGCAATTAATGATTAATAACCATGATAATTGCTTAAATACCTCGAGTTCCATAGCTGGCGCTACTTCCACTACTTTTTGATGTCTACGTTGAACAGAACAATCTCGTTCATGTAGATGAATCACATTCCCGGCTTTATCTGCTAATAATTGTACTTCAATATGTCTAGGCTTATCCAAAAAACGTTCAATGAAAACAGTCCCATCTCCAAAAGCGGATAAAGCTTCAGATTTTGCACGCTCGAAAGAATCAGCAAGAGAGGCTTTTTCACGAACAACTCTCATGCCGCGCCCACCGCCACCCATCGCAGCTTTTATAATGACCGGGAAATCATGTTCGGCGATAAAAGCTTCAGCTTCGGCCAAGGTGGAAATGGGGCCAGGCGTACCTGGTACAACTGGGACGCCACACTCAATTGCTTAATATAAATAAAAAGTCGTTTATTATTAATGTTCAATATGTCGCCCATAATTCGAAAAAAGTACATCGATAGATAATCTAAATGAATAGTAAACATGTGAGAAAGCTCACCAATCTGTCGTGCTTTTGTTTTATCACCCATTTTTTCAATTACTTCTGGGGTAGGACCTACAAATGCCATTCCAGCAGCTTCAACTTTTCGCGCAAATTCTGCATTCTCGCTGAGGAACCCATAACCCGGATGAATCATTGAGACACCGCGTAGTTTTGCAATGCGAATAATTTCTTCTTGTGCAAGATACGCACCGACCGGTGTATATTTTCCTTGAATAGCTATTTGATAGGCTTCGTCAGCTTTATACCGGTGCATTGATAGTCGATCTTCATGGCTAAAAATTGCGACTGTTTTCATAGACAGTTCATGAGCGGTTCGAAATACTCGAATGGCTATTTCCTATTGAAATAGAAATGACAAAAGATTGGTAAATTCTTTAAAGACTCGAATAAGTTTGCACGGAGGAAGAAAATTGATTTTTACACCACGGTTAGCAACCATGAGTTTCTGCAAATGCCCCAATACTTGACTCCTGCGCCGAATTGTATCTATCGAATGTTCCTGATCCGACATTTTTCGCTTGAAGTTTCTGCTAAAAATCCAAACTTTTTAAACATAATTTGTTTCGATTATCATTTTATCATCTCATCTAAGATCCGATCAGCAAATGTTAATGGATAATCCGAGATTGATATTATGGATTTATTAATTATGTGCGACATTAGTTTATAAAATAAAATAAATTAGGAAAATATAGTACAAATCGTTGTTAAAGTCAAATCGTATACAAAATTTAGATGACAGTATTATTTTCACAAAGAAATTCAATTGCTGACTTTTCACCCAAAATTAAACGCGGTTTTCATTCAAATCTTCAACTGAATCACATAATGTGATGCATTGATGTGGATTTAAAGGCCATGAGTAACCATCGCCATATCTAAAAGCATTAAAGTTTAAAGTAAGTGTTAAATTCTAATGATTGCATAAATAATAGACACTCACGAGTTTCCTATTGGAATTAGCCAAAGATACCATGTTGAGCCCATCACTTGTTGAAAGTTAGCCCTGATTGTTTATGTAACAGATTATAAAAAGGCACAACTTACATTACATTTTATTTTAAAATGAATGAAAAATTGTTACCAACCTTTTACCAACATCAAATAAATTCAAATAATTACTTGATGTAACTTCACTATTCTCCTTTATTTTATAACGTTGTCGTTGTAAACTCTCAAGTGTAGTTTGATTGGATAAAATGAGCGTTGTATGATAAATAGCAAATCCCGAAAGACAAAGAGAAAATATAGCACCAACGAGAATCAAAAACGACCAATTTAAGTCCAGCTCTAATATTGCCTAATAAATATTCAAGTTGGAATGAGATATTTGGAAAATTGGGAATGGGTAAAAACAAAAATACCTCGTACGACGAAGCCGTGAATTCGAAAGTTGGTGGTATTGTAGCTAGCATTATTAAAAGTGAATAAATTGTCGTCCAAACTAAAAATAAATAAAAATATTTTTGATTGCGGTGACCGATGCAGTTATTAAGCCTAAACAGACAAATAGTAAGTCTCATTAAATATTGTAAATCTTAATTAATGTAGTTTATACATACCAAGGACAATGACTAGAGATTATTTTTGTTAGAAAAAGGTCAACAATCAATCAAAAAACATTAATATAGCATATTAAAAAGAAAACCTTACTGATCCATTTTCAGAATACATCTATATAAAAAAGATAATACTTATTTGTACATTAATTCAGTAAATTTTCGCTATTCAATAAAAAAATAATTTCATGCTCACCTTTTACAGACTCGACAATGATGCGTACGATCAGGTTTAAAATTTTGGCATTTTTTGCAAAATCTTTTTTCACCGTTTTGTTTTACAGTTATTGTCCTTGCTAAATTATTAGAATCATTATTTTCATTATTTGTTTGATTAGAACCTGTAGAGCCCTGATTGGCCTGAGAATAATGTTGAGATAATGGTTGATATGATGATAATGAAAGAAATCGAGGCAACGAAATATCTGAACTAGTCTTTATGAATAAAAATATATTAATTATTGTCAGAGAATTCCAATATACTTTAAATCTTTGTATACTTCATCGGGATAACCAGGTTTCGTAAATACTCCTTGAAGGTAACTCCAAACCATTAAGATAAATATTGGATGAAAAACTATTAAATAAAGTACACCTAGGGAAAAAAATGATACAAATAAATTTAAAATTTTTAAATTATGTATTATAGTTCAAGAACAATACCTTGTAATGGTTTTTTGTCCAGCAAATACAATATACACAAGCGATACACGAATGCGTAATAAGACCAAGAAAATAATGCCAATACAAACACCACAGGAAAGAAACTCGCTATTTTGATTATAAATTGAAAAATCCGATTGGAATTAAAGGAGTTTTTTTGAGGCTCTACCATCGCGGTTTAACTTTCATAATTCACAAACTTTAATTCGAGGCGCAAGAAAAAGTGAAACTTCAACCACCAACACAATCGATTTTTTTTCACGTGATTTATTGCCACGAGAAGGGTAGTGCTAAATCAGGTGATCTTTCCGGGGGAAATCATAAATATTAGTTTGGAAAATCGTAAATATTTGAAAAATTTAACTTATAATTCTGGCTAACGTTAAAAAATTAAATGGAATATTAAGTTTTTATTAATTTGACGCATTAAAATATATTATATTCAATATTTTAAGTGATTCAGTACTCAAATTTTGCCAATTATCATGTAAAAGATTATTGTAAATTGAAAAACTACATTTTATAGAACAAGAAGAAATAGAAAGTCAAATATAATCTAAAGCAATTACACTTAAAAGTAGAAGAGTAAGTGCTATTTTTTTCCAAAAAAATTCAAGATTTGTATAATCAACTTCAATTAAATCTAAATTACAATATAAAAATCATTCTTGAAGAAGTACTACAGATGGATTTGATAATTATAAAATATTAGAATTATATTATTAAATATTAAAAAATATAAATCAAAAATTTATGTAGCTTTAAAAAAAGATCTTAAAGGATGATTAGAAAAAATTTTGTATATACAGCTTGAAATGTATTTTGAAAAATAGATTGAAGAGTTATATTAATTTCATACCCAAAATCAGTAATAATTCTGCTATTATTAAGATAATTTTCAAGTTGTTAAATATATTTTTCAATAAAAAAAACAGGATTATATTCTTTTTGAAAAAACTCAATATTTAATATAAATTAAACTATATAATAATAGATAAAAATTAAATATAACTCTATTAAATTATTAGTATTATTATTTGAAAAAATTGACATAATATTATTAATAGTTTCAGAAAATTTTAATTCTTATTTTTCATAATAAAACTTCTAAATATAATCAAGATAATTATATATATAAAATACTATTTTAAATCAAGAATTCTATTAGGTAATATTAGATAAAGACATAAATCTTAAAATTAATTTTAGAGTATTTGATTATTTTTTAAATAATTTTTTAATAATTTTAAATATATTTTTGAATATATTATTAATTTTTTAATATTTATAATCAATTTATAAATATTATTAAAATAACTAATACTTAATTATATTTTACTAATAAATAGAGTAATAATTTATATTTAATATTAAAACTTAAAAAATAATATTAATAATATTATTATTATCTTATCAAATATAAGATATGAACTAGATATAAATTATATTTTAATTATAATATTACTAGTTTTAATATTTTATAAATAGAATAGATTTTTTTATATAATCTCCTAAATTAAATATAATAAAATATGATTAATTAAAAGATATTTCTCATTTAATTAATAATCAAAGAATTAATTAACTAATTATAATATTATTAACTTAAGACAAAAGTTAATTAAAACTAACTTAATATAATTCTAATAATTAAAAAGTATATTTATAATACTATATTCTTTTTTATTTGTAATTTTATTAATAATAAGAAAAATTATCTTTTTATAAAACTTATCTTGAAGTTTTGTATAATATTATTCAAATGCATATTTTAAGTATTATTGTTATAGTGAATTAATAAGTGGAGTTTCACTTGAATTTACTCTAATGATATAGGGTTGAGAGAGATTGAAAATAATTAAAGATAATGAAAGGGGAATTAGACTATATTTTCAATAATGACAAAGATTTCTAAGGTCTGTACCAATATCTACAGATATTATCTTAACAAAGGGGTAATCAAATAAATAAATAAATAAATAAATAAATCCAAGAAATTATAAAGATTATCTGAGTGAAGTCACTAGTAATCAATATAATTCAAGATTTGAATTAATTAAATAGTATAAACTATTAATTAAAGAAAACTATAAC